CAGAATCCTGAGCCCCCTCTGTCTCTGCAGAACCCACCTGCCTCCCCAGACTGTTAGACAGTCACCTGCTCTCTACCTCTGTCGTCCTGGAGGGGGAGAGTGTCAGCCGGGAAGGGGATGTTCTCTGCTTTCTGTACTGCCTTCCATCACAAGATCCCAAGACATGGTGCAACCAATTAAACCTCAGCACTCGCTGCTGTCAGGCCAGGGGTGGAATGCGTCTTACCAACGGGAGGAGGAAGGTAAGCCCCGGCAGAGATTAGAAGAGAGCCTTGCATGTCGACATGAGGCAGCATTGCCCAGTGGATAGGGCACTGAAGAACTCTGGGATCCATTCCTTGCTCGAAGAAGTCACTTCCCTTCCTGCCTGACTTGTGAGCTGGGAAACGGATGCTCACCCTCCTTTGCAAAATGCTTGGGGACCGAGGCCTGAAAAAGTCACACAAGAGCGAGACTTTACTGGTATTTTACAAGGCCCAGCTCTCAGACTTCCCTCCTGGACTCTCTGTCCTCCAGTCAGGTCAGGGGCATTTTCTCACAGACCGATAACCTCTCGTTTTTCCCACTGCCCCCCAGATAGGCATTGCCCTCAATCTGCGGCATCCCTCCGGCATTCTGGGCAGCGTCTGCCTGCATCAGGACATAGCTCAGCATAATGGGAACCTAGCATCCTGCCTGGGGCCTGCGGGTGCTGCCATCCTAGAGATGTTACTGAGGGTCAGCGGGACTCTTCTATTCATGCCATCCCCTCCCGCCCGCTCGGCGGTGCAGCCACTAGCAGAATCAAATCCCAATGTATGGGGCTGGGGGGCATCTGCTCCTCCTTTCAGTCAGGATCCTGTTCTCATTCACTCCTGTGCTGCAGCCCCTTTAGCCCAACTAAATGGCGGTGCAGGGACAGAACCCCAGTGGGCGCCCTGAGTACACCAGACCCACGCTGGGAGCCTCCAGGCTGCCTTTGCCAGCTCCACTCTGACTGCCCCCTGCTGGAGGGCTGGGTGGGCCACAGGCAGGCAAGGGGCCCTTGAAGGTGCAGGGGGGCTTGTGGTTTGATGGCTCTGTGCCACTGTAGCGGCCCAGAAGGGTCTTTGCAGGAAGGATGTAATTTGGGCTGCCCTATCCCACGCCAGGGGCTTTCCCTTTGTCCCTGGCCCAGAGACTCAAAGACTCACTGTGGTTTTGACAATTCAGCCAGCAGCTGTCGCCATTTTTAATCGAAAGGGTTAGACCTACAGTAATTACAAGCCCAGGCATGCACAGAGCCAGGCAGCTCCAATCAGGATGAAGTGTTAGGAGCAGCTTTCCGGCTTCTGAACCATTGCCAGTACCTATATTGGCTTGACTGGGCGAACGTGTGCGTCCCTGGAGAAATGGTTTGGCTCGGCTCCTCTTTGTTCCCAATCCTTGGCTCTCAGTAGAGACCTTCTGTCCTCTGACACAGAGGGGAGGTTTTTCAGATGCACGCCCCACGCCAGAGATGTCCTATCAATTCAGTTTAAATAAGCAGGCCACACGATTCAAGTTTCCCAGTCCCGGGGCAATCTGGGTGGCAGGTTCTGTCCCCCCGATGCCGTTGAATAGGAGCTTCATGCGCAAGTAGCTCCAGTGAGTGCCCAAGAGTCCAGCTGACAGAGAGCACGAGAAGCAGAAGGTGATCCAAAATGAACAGAAATACTGATTGGAAGGTTAGATGGAAAAGAACAGCGGAGCCTCCCAAAGGGGTCAGGGTATTGGCCCAGGTTCACTTCTACCAGCTTCCACTGCATGGCCCCTCCCTGTGTCTTGCTTTTATCTACAAGTCAGAGGTGACTTCGGTTTTGCCGTTATCAAGTCCAGGGACAGATACTGAACCTCTCTCTAGGAACAGAGGTGTTGCATTCGAGGACAAGCTCAGGAGAGCTTTTGGAGAACAAAGTCAGGGAACAAGCAGGGTTCAGTGCTCCGCCCAAGCTTCAGTTTTGACCTGAAGGGGGGAAAAAAAGGCCCTGAAGTCCTGACACTCCACTTTTCAAACCACAAAAAATGAGCTTTGCTTCAGTAATGTAACTGTGGAGCTTTTTGGCACCTTGTTCTTTAAAAATACATCCATCTGCCTGCACACAAGGCCATCAAACTCAATCTTGTTCAGAATGGATTTCTCAGTTCATGAGAGCTGGAAAGTCTATAGTGATGCTGGCTGGTCAGACTGAACAATCCCTAATAGAAGCGCAGTCTGTAAGCTTCACAGCTGT